AGGGGGAAAACGAGCAAAGAAACGAAACGGTGCCATAATAAACAGATGCGAGTCACGTTACTCATGAGTAGTCAGAAAACAAGGAAAGTTACCGCTGGTCACCGTTGATTCGCAGGCGGAATTAACAGTCTGTTTTCATATAAGTGTCTTCCTTTCCCAGAAGCCTAGAGTATCACAAATATATTTCACCTTGTTATCTCCTAATTATGGTCACATAAAACGTTCCTGCGTAGTTTGCATGAAGCAGGTAAAATTGTTTGGAGTAAGCAAACACAAGGAGAGCCATAGGTTTCGTGGTTGTACCAGGTTTTATTTCGCAAGAACAATTCTGTGAAGCAGACAAGCATTCCAGAGTGACTTACTTATGGCAGTGAGTTTGTTTCTATTATAACGGAGACGATAGAGGAGATAGAGGAGAATGTCGGTAGCCCGGGTAGCGTATTGGTCGTTGGCTTGAACAAGCCAAGTCATTTTGGCGTTCTTTGGTGCTCCTGAAGAATAAAATAACATCTCAAGAGTTTTTAATGCAAATGCCACCCTATAGGACCAGTCGCAGGCGTTAGACACCTCAGATTTTATAAAATGGGATATTTTTGTTTGGTGAACCTGCTCACAACACATTTTCCCCATGGATCTCATGTTCCATTAGGTGCAATAAAGTTAGATAATAGCGCAAACTTGCAGTGGCAGTGCGAGGAACATCTGTGGATGATCCCCTTTCCTAGATATGCATAACTAGCTTGTGGATAATACAGTGTTGCCAGAATGTTGTAGGTGTCTTTCCTATTATAACTATGACGTTCTATAGGTGGTGACCACCAGCCATAAGGCGGTCACCACGATTACGGTGGCCGTTGTCACTCACCTCGACTACCCATTGTAGCTGCTGGATCCGTGTCTATGTGCGACGCTAATTACGGTTCTCCACACATGCGCGGCAACCCAATCCAATGAGCAACGACGGCCACTTGTACCCGTATCTCTACTAGTTTTCACTCATCTCGAATACCTGTTGTAACTGCTAGGCCCGCATTTGTGTGCAACGTTGATAATGAGACTGCACCTATGCACGGGAAAACAATCCGATGGTCAATGACGGTCTTGTACACGGTTAACTATACGCGATCCAGCTTGTCTTCGCTAGCTACAGTAACCATCAGTGCGACGCTGTTTAGTAGGCCTCGGCTATGCGAAGTGTCCCTATTTAACTGCCAACGACGACCCGTCACACCCATAAATGTATGCGCTCTCGCTTATGTCTGCTGCTTATGTCATCATGGAGTGCATGAAATCAGTGTTAAACACCGATCTTCACTGTCGTACCTGCCTGCTCCCTACAATAATCACCAAGCCAGTATCTACGCGAGCCGATAGAAACCAGGTTCCAACTATGCGTGACATCTTAACGACCAGCGGCTGCCCGTCATACTCGTAACTGTATTTGATATCGCCTACCTTCGCTGCTTATCGTAATTGCAACACCTGAATCTACGTGCAACGCTTAGTATAAAGCTGACGGTCTTTCATACTATAGGTGACGCCGCTTATCTTAGCTACCTACAGTAAACATCAATCCAATATATATGCCGACCAGTAAAACACGAGGACTCAACTATGGGTGATAGCGTAATCTGACAGACCGTTATAATCACAACTGTATTCGAAGTCACTTAACTTGGCTATTTATCGTCATACTCATACTTACTCAATGCCGTTTGCCACCTTCAGTGAACATCGCAACTGTAGTCGACGTAACCTACGGGACTACCTATAGTAACTGCTAGGCCCGCACACATCTCCTACACACACGAACTACTTAACAACATTTGACGCGATAGTTAGCCCGTCCTTGATAGTGAGTACCTTTCCAAAGTGGCCGGCGACGTACGGAGCACCATATTTCGAAAGGGAAGAACAA